AAGAGAGAGAGACAGCCAGGGACTGGTTCAAAGAATAGCAGAAGGGCCCATGCGTGCGGCTGAATGGAGCAAAGTGGATGAGGGAAGGACCAGAGGCTTCGGAGCTGGGAGAGGGAGAGATCCCACCCCCCATGTGTCTATGTCGGCTTTTATATAGAAACAACGGTTTCCCTCCTGTTCCTGTTCTAGGGAAACAGGCTATGCTAACCACGTAGCTGTGTGTTCCCTCCACCCTGGGTCCTGCTGGCATGTGCCATGGCCACAGGGCTCTTGAACAAACATGGCTGGGGGCTGAGCCAGCAGATGTCTCAGGAAGTCCCGTGGTGACTGAAACCCCATGACATATAAGTAGGAATTTCTGTTAGAGATGGGCCATTGCTCAGGAACCTAGGCTAGTCTTTAATCCCCGGCGTCAGGCGATCCTCCCACCCTGGTCTCCGGAGCGGGGGCTACCAGGCAGGCAGGCCACCACACCCACCTGTAAACTTTTTCACTCTGGGCAGGCATATGTCACCTGTTCAATAAATGGTGACTCGTATTTTTTTTTAATGTATTTACATAGGCACTTTACCACATCATTTGGAAGATGTGACCGTCCATCTTGACTGCCCTGTTGCTTGGCTTGATCAACACCTGGGGAGGTAGAGTAGAGTGTACCTCGGGGTACAGGACATCTCCAGAGAAGTTTGGGATGTGAGCGCTTACAGCAGATTGATGGTTGGACCCACTGATGGATTCAAAACGTGATCAGACAGTGGGTGAGTTGGGGGAGTGGCGCTGCCGAAGGTGGAGCCTGGCAGGGGGAAGCCAGGCACTGGGAACTTGTCCTTTCGGGCTGCATGGTGCTCTGGCCCCAGCCTGCTCCACTCTGCTTCCTGCTGGCCAGGAAGCTCTCCCACCAGGTCAGACACGAGTAAACCAAATCCCGTTAGGATGTTTCCTCAGGTGTTTGGTCACAACAGACAATAAACTAACAGAAGGACGGGGTGGTGGCACACGCCTTTAATCCCGGAGACTGGGAGGCAGAGGCAGGAGGATCTCTGTGAGTTTGAAGCCAGCCTGGTCTACAGAGCTAGTTCCAGGACACCTAGGGCTACACAAGGAAACCCTGTCTTGAAAAAAAAACAACAAACAAACAATAACAACAACAACAAAAAAACTAACAGGACACATGTAGAATGTGTGTACCTGAGAGCAACAGACAATTTAATTCTTCAGTAAGAGTGTTTCCCTTCTCTTTCAGGGTATAAACCAAGGTGTGCCTTTTTCATAGCTACAAAAAATTATTATTTTTTATTTGTGTGTGTGCTTTGCCTGCATGTGTTTCTGTGCACGATGTGTGCCCAGTATCTGAGGAGGCCAGAAGAGGGCGCTGGAGGGAAGTAGAACTAACTCCAAGTAACTGTGGGCTGCCAGCTGGGTGCTGGTCATCAAACTCAGGTCCTCTGGAAGGACAGCTAGTGACCTTAAGCATTGAGCCAGCTCTCCAGGCCCCATATTATACATTTAGAAGGAATTCATGATGGGGCTGGAGAGACAGTTTAGAGGACCTGGGCTCTGGTCCAGGGATACCCAGGTATGGTGCACACACTTACAGCCAGGCAGAACACTTATATAAAGACTTATAAACACTTATAAAAAGACTTAAATGCTATTTCTAAGCTTACATTTCTCCCCCTTCAAAGGATGTGCTAAACAGAGGAATGAAGGAGCTAGACCACAAGTAGCATCCTTACATTGTATCTGACGTCTAGGCTGCGGTAGCTCAGTGGCTGCTTCTGCTGCAGCCTCAGGTCGCCATTCACATATAACTGTGACCCAGGAACAGCAAAGGAGGACTGAAGAAATGCCATGCTCTGCATCACGAAGGTTGACATCCTCTGAAGTCATTAGAAAGAAAGACGCCACTGTCAGTTTGGAAGAACCTGGGGGTTCACAGGTCACCTGTCTGCAGCAAACCTGTGCTGGTCCAGTCAGGAACCTTTCTGCCCGGAACCCTCCAGCCTATGACTAGCTAATCAAATAACTTAATACTGCCCCAGGGAGAGGGCTATGAGAGGACTGACTCACGTGCAGTTGGTAGGAGAAGGTCAGGATAAGCTGTACACCAAGAACCTGCTCTGTGGATTGCAGGGGAAGTTCAAGTTTAAAATGTAGCATGTCCATCTTCCCATCCTGGTTCCTGTCTTCTTCTCTGGTCTGCAGAAGGCGAAGAAAGAGATTTCCTTTTTTTTAAAATAATTGTTTGAGGCCAGCCTGGTCTATAGGGTGAGTTATAGGACAGCATGGGCTACACAGAGAAACCCTGCCTCACAACAAAATCAAAACACCCACAAAATAAAAAAAAAAAAAAGGATTGTTAATTATTTTATTTATGTGTTAATTATTTTTATTAGTATCATTATATTATTTATTTTTTATATTTATTTACATGTTAATTTTTATTTATGTATGTGTCTGTAAATATGCATATGAACATGTGTGTGCCTGTGGAAGCCAGAAGACACATTAGATCCCCTAGAGCTTGAGGTGAAGGTGAATGTGAGCTGCCTGATGAAGGTTCTGGATATTAACGAGGGTCCCCTGCAAGAACCGTATTGAGCCACGTCTCTGGTCCCCAGAGAGAAATTTCCTTTTCCTCTCCATCCCTACCTCTCATTCCTTTCCTTCTTTCTTTAGAATGCTGGGATTGACGAGGGCCTCCTCCATGCCAGACCCGTGCTTTACTGCTGTGTGATAGCGCCATCCCTAAGACAGTTTGTTCAAATGAAAACACAAAATCTAATTCTAATCATCATGTATTTATTAAGCACGCTCTATGGAAACCCACCAAGCTCTACACATTCCTTTAACATTTATTTTTATTTTATGTGTATAAATGTTTGCAGGCACATATGTCTGTACCTCAGTGCATGCCAGACACCAGAAGGGTACTTCTGGAAGATGCCCTGAAAATGTTGTCATAGATGGTGGTAAGCTGGCATGCCGGTGCTGGGAACTGAACTCAGGTCCTTTGCAAGAGCAGCCGGTGTTCTTAACCACTGACCCTTCTCTATGGCCCCTATTTGTATATCCTTAAACCACAAGTGCCTTTGCTTCAGATCCTTAAGGCCGGACTGTCTGTGTCATTATTCATGCCCAGGCTCTAAACCTTGTGTATCTTTTAGCATCAATCAATACAATAAAAAAGGAAGCTAAGCCAGATCAATAAGATACCAAGACCACAAATACTTGACAAAAATCAGAGGAAGGTACAGAAGTCACCGCCCATAAACCATCCGTGGGCAGTTAAAAATAAGTCACCAACTGGTCCCGCCAGGGGGACAGCACTTAAATGTAAGCCCTCTGCCAGGTCTTGACACACATCTATGCCTTGATGCTGAAGCATTTCCTCTCAGTTCATTTTTTTTTTTTTCTCTCTCTCAAATGAGCAAGGCTGGGATCAAGAGAGCTGCTTTCAGAGCCTTTAAGTGATTTCTTTCCTTTAAGACAACAATGTCCTTTTCTGAGGCTCGCTATCATCTACCGTCCCCCCTCCACTGGCTGCTGCTCTCCTTGTCCTAGTTCTTCGGCTTCCTGGGGGAGGAGGGGACTCTGCCACCAGGGCCACTGATACAGTCACGGAGGTGCTTATGTATTAGTATGAATGGGGTAGAGAGCGGCTGCCTGGTCCCCGTGAGTGAGCGTCTTGCTATGAGGAAGACTGCTATCTTAGTGTTCTGCTGCTGTGAAGAGATGTCGTGAGCGCTGCGGTTCAGTGGTTTGGTCCATTATCCTCACGGTGGGAAGCATGGCAGTGTGCTGGCAGACATGGTGCTGGAAAGGTAGCTGAGAGCTCTACATCTGGGTCTGCAGGCAGCAGAGAGAATGAGATACCAGACCTGACCTGGGCACCTGAGACCTCAAAGCTGGACCCCAATGACAAACTTCCTCCGACTAGGCCACACCCACTCCAACAAGGCCACACCTCCTAATAGTGCCACTCCCTGTGGGCCTGTTGGGGGTGGGCCATTTTTATTCAGACCACATCAACAGCAATAGCGCTGGACAAAGATAAAGACCAGCTTCTCTGTTTAGGAGAGGAGAGGGGCCAGAAGAGAACTGCCAGGAAGATGCTAATTCCCGCCACTGGGGTATGACAAGGAGAGGAACTCATTTCACTGGCTCTTTATATTACGTGCCAAGCCTCTGACAGATCAAGTGCTAGCCACACAGTATAGACAGAAAATCTAGACACAGGAAGTCAGGATTTGTCAGAGGTACAGCTAATAAACAGTCTAACAGGATTTAAGATGCGGTGTTTTATTGTTTCAAGGGGAGATTAGGTGTTTTTACTTTTGTTGTGTTTTTTTCCCCAAAAAGAGACAGGATTTCTCTGTGTAGCCTGGCTCTCCTGGACTCAAACTCACAGAGATCCACCTGCCGCTGTCTCCTTGAGTGCTGGGATTAAAGGTGTACACCAGCATATCCCTAGAGATTAGGTGTTTTTAATTTAAATTTCTTTTTAATACTAAACTGCCCAGACTTGAAAAAAGAAAAAAGACAACAAAACAAAAACAAAATAATGCAAACAAACAAACAGCAGTCCAGTATGGTTGGGGCGCAACATAATCTGAACATTTGGGAGCCTGAGGCAGGAGGATCACCACAAATTTGAGGCCAGCCTGGGGAGATGTGGAACGCAAGGCCTGCCTAGGCCTCGAAATAAATAAATGAAAAGAGCTGGTCATGCTGGTGTACACCTGTGATCAGCAGTTTACGATCATCCTCCACTATACACAAGTGTAAGGTTAGCCCAGGCTATACAATACCCTGTACTAATAATGAGGGAATGTTAACCCTGAGACTTTTGAGAAGAAAAGCAAGGTTTTTGACTATCCGATTAAAGCAAGTTATATTTTGGGGTGTACCTGGGACTGGTCAATCTAGCTGCTTCTCCCTAAATTGGGATTTTAGAGAGCAGCCCCTGTTAGCTTCTTGGAGTTCCTTTTATGTGGGAGACAAAGTATCACAGGGGCAAGGGAGTTGACTCTTACACAGTGTCAGAAAACACAATGGGCCATGCCAGAGGTTAAGAGCACTTCCAGAGGTCCTGAGTTCAATTCCCAGCAACCACATGGTGGCTCACAATACAATCACCTATAATGTATTCCGGTGCCTTCTTCTGGCGTGCAGGTATACATGCATATAGAACATTCATATACATAAAACTAAAAAATAAATCTTAAAAAATGTTTTAAAAGACTGTTAAAAAACATGTTTTGTAGTTTACATAAAATCTAAGAAACAGAAACTTATTGAACCTGAGCCCTCTGGAAGAGCAGCCAATGCTCTTAACTGCTGGGCCATCTCTCCGTCGCTACACTTTTTTTTTTTTTTTAAGTTTTATTTATTCTAATGTGCATTGGTGTTGCCTGCATGTATGTCTGTGTGAGGGTGCCAGATTCTCTGGAACAGACGATTGTGAGCTGCCTTGTGGGCGGCTGGAAATTGAACTTGGGCCCTTTAGAAGGGCTGCCAATGTCCTTAGCCGCTGAGCCATCTCTCCAGCCCCTATTTTAGCCATTTTTCAGCACAGCACAATTTGGGGAAAAGATTCCTGATGATAACTTAACTCAGTCTTGTGTGTAAACAGAGCTTAAGACATGATTACATTGAAACTCTTCAGAAAGTACAAACGGCCTCTTCCGTAAAGGCAGGTTCTGTCGACTCAGCAACAGTGCTCAAGATTCGGGCCTCAGGAGGAAGAGTCTGGGGGCCTCTGGTGTGGCCTGGCCCCACAGCTAGCACAGATCTCCAGGCTCCTGACTATGTTCCCAGCTTTCCGAGTGTTGCAGAGACACTACGTGTCTGGCACCCCTGCTTTCCCTAGTGCTTAGGCACCCCTGCTTTCCCTAGTGTTTATCCATGAGCACTTTCCCTAGTGTTTATCCATGACGACCTTGTGCTCTCAATACTTCAGAGCTTGGAGGAGGGTCACAGCAGGGGGACCTGGAAGGCCGAAGGGGGACAGAAATACCTGACTTGATTGTTTGCTCGCTGTCCTCATTTGGGCCAGGCCAGTCTTCACTCTGGCCGGGAGCAAGTGCTCCTCAGGTGAGGCCCATTATGCTTGTTAGACTGACTGGCGGCAAGAGCTGCTGTCACTCCCTGTGCGACTGAGGAGCAGACCCAGGGCCTCGTGCATGCTAGGCTAGGGCTATAGCACTAAGCTGCATTCCCAGCCAGGGCGGCTGCTGGCTTATAACCATTTTCCAGGGCATCCACAGTCTCGCATGGCTTGTTGGGATGTTGTTTGGTTCCTGTTTTATCCTTTGCATTCTTCTCTGTCACTTTCTTTTACAAAATGTGCATTTTCAAGCTTATACTCCTGCCCATCTCACTATAGGCTTGCCATTTCTGTAAATTACATTTCTTTCTTTTAAACTGAGTTGGCCTTAGAGTGGTGGCTCAGTGGTTAGGAGCACTAGCTGTTCTTGCAGAGGACTCAGGTTTGGTTCCCAGCTCCAGCTCCAGGAGGTCGGGTGCCCTCTTCTCCGGCTGCTGCCTCTGTCTCCTCGGTGCTGGGATTATGATCCCTTGCCATCTACCCCTTTGCTGTTGTTGTTTTCAGTGCTTTGTTATGAACTCTTGCGTGGCCTGGAAGTTGAGTTCCTCAGGGATTCTGGACGTGCGACCACTCTATCCTGCCACCTTGGCTCTGTGGATGTCTGCACACAGGTGAGCAATGAGAACTGAAGCAGGCAGCCTCCTGGCCAACAGCGAATGTCAGGTGCCGCCAACAGAAAGGCATACCCCAGGGTTAGAGACGGGAAGAGCATGGGTGCTTAGACACATGGCCTCTCTACTCGGACTCTGACATCCATCTCTAACCTCCAACCCGTATCCTTACTGAGCCATGTCACTAAGGAGGAGGGCCACTTGGCTTTTCTTTTCTGATTATAAGAAACAAAAACTAGACTTTAAAACATAAAAAAAAAAAAAAAAAAATAGGGACCTTGAAGACAGTATTCTAGGTGAGCTGACCAGAGCAGAAGCAAGGCTGACTGTGACTTTGGAGCATTTTCCCAAATTAGCAACTACAAAACCACCTCCCAGCGTTGGTCAAACCTTGGCCTAAAAACCATGGCTTCCTTGATTCCTTGGACAGTTTCCCACACATAATGAAGCCAGCCTGGGTCTATGTTCCGAGCTAAAAT